ACTTAGCCCTGGAAGTCCTTGTGCGAAAATCGCCGGTCAAACAAGGGCTTTCCTTTCCGCGTTTTCTTGAGGGATTCGCTTTTTTTGCCAATGGCGTACCATTAAGCCCCAATAAACCTTGTAGAGCCTATCGTAATCGCTGCCTTTGACGTGGACAAGTGAAAATCTAGTGTGAAGAATTTTAGAACACTTTTATATGCAATGCACGACAGCGACTCACCGCTTGAATGACTGCTTAATTGCCTAAATAACCTTGCATTTCTATGAATTTTTATTTTAAATATTTGCATCTAGAACCAATGTTTTTTCATGCCTCTCAAAATTTAAGTTTAAAAGAAAAGATAATCTCCTGGACTACCATTTCGCAGTTGCAATTGTGGCAGAATATGGCGAAATAGAAGAAATGCTAAAAGTGAACTCACTAGAACACAGGCGTTAAGTGATGGTGCTGCATTGATATGACCGTCTTTGTGTGCTTTGAAACACAACGTGAGCGCCCAGTTGATTGGAGCCCAGTACTTGTTATAGTTTATGGAGATGCTCTCCAGCTCGCGCCTCTCATGTTCATGCAAAAATCCTAAAGATAAATTTTGTTGAGCTGATCAACCTTGTTAATTACAGTATTCTCGAAGGCATCGCTCTTCGTTCGAGCTCATAGGCAATTCACCGGGATTCAACTAATATGTTGCTACGCTTGTAAGTGATATTGGCTATGAAATATAACGACAGTAATAAAAAATGCCAAGAAACCGTCGGCAAAGACCAAAATAAGGCCCCCTCTCCAGCAGCGCGAAGAGGACTAGCACAGACTTGTGGGTGGAGCCAATTGTGTTGGGGGGGGGGGTTGATGGTGTTAGGAGGGGTCAATGCTGGATCCTATGATTTTAGGTCTTCGGCCTTGTCACATCGTTCTGACACTTGAGCACTTTCTCCCCACTTGCGCACCACTGCATTTTTCGAGGGGAAGGCCTAATTTTGACCACAAATCCGGACCGTGCCTTCACTAAACACCAATTATTCAATTGTGATAGGCAGGGTAGAAATGTAGATATCGAATAGGGGGCTGAAACGTTGAAGTTGTGAGTATTTGAGAAGTAGAAAGAAAGCTATGTAGAGGTCGATGTCCATAGGAATGGGAGAAGGAAGGGGCAATTTATTATGGTTATAGAGGTTTTGGATAATTAGGCTCTAAGGGGAGGGTCAAAGGGTTGTTGTGATCGTCGCAAACGTGCTTAAGAAGTGGGAAGCGAGAGAGAGCGCATGGATAGATTTTCCAGCATGAACCGAGCTGTATTGGGTGAAGGCCCGATTTGATGCGCAACCAGGCGATTACTGCGGTATGCCCTCGGCGCTTGGCACATCTCTCGTAGTGCGTGGAGTCGTTCACCCGTATGACGAACTCCACTCACTCAAAGGCAATGGGTACGGCAACTTGGCCGCTCAGAACAACGGAACCCCTTTTTTGTCCGCTGATACCGTATTTGACGAGATGCAACAGCGATTGACGCCACATTCGATGCGCTGCTCCACCTCTTTGCTCAGAAAGCAACACCGTCGACAATCAGGGACCAACGGGTGAGGCAGCCTCGGAGGCGGGTGCAATCGTCAAGCCATAAGCCGCGTGTAGGATATTGCTTGGGTGGTGGGCGCTATTTGCTGTTTTGTTCTCCATATATCGTTTTTTCAATAGTCCAGCTCCCTCTTATAGTAGGCTCTTTCGCCCTTTTGAGCATCCAATTTATCGCACCCAGTGCCTTTAAGTTTGATGCGCCAGAGTACAGGTTTGTGCAGTAGTAAAAAAAAGCACCAAGAAAAGGTAGAACTATGAAGCTCACCAGCGATCACCAAAGATTCCGTATTAGGAAATCGTCTTCTCACACGCATGGATATATCACGAAATACGAGCACCTGCAAATTGCCTTTTTTTATCAACTGTTTGTTGCTTTTCTTTACTACTCAGACAGTCTAAACGGCTAGTGAAAGTGCTCACCTGAGAAAGCACAAGATATCTGATAATAGTTCGCCGAGTGAGTATAATTTCGTGGGTATCACCTCGGAAGAGGGTTGCAATTGTTAGTGCCGCACTGAAAGAATCCTTTGCAGTACCCAATTTTTTACTTTTTGATTTTCTATATCTCAACTCGGTTCGATCAATACATAGTAAAGCGAGGTTAAGAGGGTAGGCAGTGGCAAATGATGCTCTCTGCGCTCGCACGAGCGGCATTCAAATCACAGGTACCCTACAGGAAGCCCATCGCGCGGCGGGAAGGAAGAGACGCAGACGGGTCAGCGGACGAGTTTTGTGATGTGGGACGTACCATGAGACATTGTTCTCATTTGGACTCGAAATCTCTGCAGTATGCGCTGCGTTTGCTATGTAGCACCGCTATTACGTAGCACCTAGCAAGGGCTTACCGGTAGTGATCATCGCCTTCGACGAGAGTCCCACTTCCAGGTGGCAGGATTGACCTATCACTGGTTGGTGGTGAGATTGCTGTCTATAGTGAGAGAGTGTTGAAAGGCTGAGCAAGGCGTTCACAGCGACGGCGTCATCTACCGTGGAATCTAGACGAGGGTTTACTTCATTAGATTAGATCATCTCCATGTTTTTCTTCACCACCACACCTTTTTCATCTCTACTCTCATTTCCAGGGGCGACCAATTATCATGGCATGTGCCTTTGAATTCTAATGCAATTCTGAATGGAAGTCTCATTAATGGCGCATTCCAAAAATAGGTTGGTTAACGCCGAGTTCATTGTCCTTATCGGTTTCAAGCTGGAAGTAGACGAAACTTCCAAAAACGTTCCTTCGCGCTACAAAATTGTGGAACATTTGAGCAAGCGCTGAAAGCAACAACACTGGATGGAAGCCGTGTTGAACTTTTTCTGGGGTAGGAAATTGCCTGCGAGTACCGCAGTTGTGCCTTTGTCGCTGTTCAAAAGTGCGCGACAATGGACCTATGGCCTTAAGTTGAGCTAATGGCGGTCCACGAGGGCTAATGGACGAGATGCGCGCACTCGCACACACTCCATGACACACAACGTGGATTGTAACGTAGCGGCTAATTCGGATACACAGGGATTAGTGGAGCCTATGGAGCAAGTGAGATCAGACAACTCGTCCAGACACGCCCCTCAGTTCAGAGGCAGAAAGAATCTATGTTCTTGGGCCTCATCGGCGATTTGCTTCGCTTCTTTTTCATATTTTTTTTCTTTTTCAAGGTTGGCTTGACTCTGCATCATCAATTTTGCTATCGACCGCTGTTATTCCATAAATTTGAAGTGGGGTTGTTGCTTCAAGATGCGAAAGGGTACACTGGTGCGCCATGAGTCTGCCTTTCATACAAAACTGATGATTGAGATATTTCTAGCAATAAGCATGATTTTTCATTGAGCGGCTATTTGGTGCAGCTGTTCATGACAGCGTCTTCTGATCAATGATATAATGGACAAGCTCGGTGACCAGCCACCAATACAAGTCTGGTAGGCAGATTCATGGCGCATCCTTAACCCACCAATACGCATAAGGATCTGTGTCTAAATGGCCGAATGATATTCAAATTGTATCAGCGGGATGCGGGGGCCTCATTCCATTGTTTCAAACATCGC